CCCTCCCTCCCTCTCTGTGTGTATACAATCAAAATTGCTCTTATCGATCATTCAATGAATGTATTTGCATCAGATTCAAGCCCCCGTATCCCTCTTAGGCGTCTTCCAACTTCTGTTCCTTTCTCCCCTCCACCCACCCCCAAATAATTGCCCTTGTGCCTGGACAATGCAGAATTCTCTACGAATAGGCCGATGGGGCCTATGCGAATTCCACTTGGTAAACAGTCTGCAGGCGTAAAAAGGCGAAAAGTATTTCCTCTTCCTGTCTGCCAATCAACTGCCCTGACTCACACTTGTCGTGAGTGGAATTATCTGCCAAGTGAAATAAAGTTTTACGTAAACACAAGTGTATTATAAAAAGCAATAAAACCCAATCCCTATTCTACTACGCTTGCGAACTAAACCGGGGTATGTTTATTGGTGGAACTTTCTGGAACCTTGGTTGAAAATGAAAATTAATGAATCACTTCAGACAACTTAATTCCACGGCGGATGGAAGGTCAACTAATAAAATCCAGGTGATGAGATTCTTGGTTTCCGTGATCTAGCTTAGCGATGACCAGGCTCGTAGTCTAAATATTTACAGAGATATCTTCTCAAAAAGCCTCGATGAAGTTGAAATAACGATTTTGATTCGACCATGAGAAATAAAAGCTTAAGTGCATTTAAGCGTTTTAATGTGTCGATCATTTGAAAAGTCAAATTAACACGATAGAACGAATGGAAGACGCTATCGAGGTATAAAGATCAGATAATTTTGTAGAGGCGAACTTAATAAGTCATTAAAAATAGTACACTTTAGATTTCAACTAGAAAGAGACGTGCAAGTTATCAAACAGGCAAATTTTACGCGATGTGAGTCCACACTGAAGGATTGGCAAAATTGGAGTTTGGCGCTACCCTTGTTCCTTTCGCATGGAAGGATTGAACAACTGATGCTCTGATAAGCTTCGAGTTGGATGGATGAGGAGGGTGAAGAGGTAAAAAAGCTTGGTCCACCAACCAATCGTCTTAGTTGTGCACTTTCGTGTCGTCGGATTAGTTCATTCGAAGAAATGATGAGAGCAGCTGAGAGCTGAAGGCAATCTTTAGAGCTAAATCTCTGCAAGGAAAGGCCATCGTAAAGCTCTACGGAGTGCCTCATTCGGTGTAATGGAAACTGAACACTTCGAATCTTTTCGAAATAATCTCGACTTAAATCTATGCAGTTAGACACTCAAATAAGCAGTGGCTTCATTTTGCTACAATAAACAATTTTTTAAAACATTTTTATTTTCTTAGAAGTCTGAGTTTCATCTAAAAGGAGAGGGAGAGAGGGCATCCCATTAATTAAAAAGGGAAATAGTACTTTGGCTCTAATTTACACGTATGGATGGAATGCCCGGTGTGGAAATTGTCAGTGAAATGTCAAAGAAAATGTTCTTTAACGAAGTGATCCGAATGCCCAAATTCACTTATCAACTAACATTGCAACTTCAGCGAATAAATATTTTGTGAACATTAAATTGTGTAGAGAGGAGCTTAATCACTCGGACCAGCACTTACTCGACTAGAGTAGAGAAAAAAGCACTTTTTGAAGCGGGCAAAATGAGATGAAGATCAACTCAGAAAAACACTGAGGCGGGAGCGCTGTTTTAGTCAAATGCAGTACTTTTGCAGTAAATAGACGAAATAGTCACTCAAAAGGATAATGAACGAGGAGGATAAGAAGCCTGATTCGAGCCTTTAGGATTGAGAACTCAGTGGTCATAAAACTGATCTTCGTTGATTGGACAGCAACTGGTCCTCTTTCTCACAACTTCGTTAAGATGTCGGGCCGATTGGCGCAGGCTTCAACTTATTCACATGTGGGACCGCCAAGGTTAAAAATTTATGTCAAATGCCAGGCTATATGATAGGTCACGGTAGCCATTAAGGTGGCTTCGGGCTTCACAGAGGGGAGGAACAGATAGAGTCACAAAAAAGTCGATAAGGGGAACAGAAGAGAGATTCAAAGATGTAAAAGAGACAGACAGACACAAAGGCAGAGAAAATGTAAGATGAGTACTGTGGAAGGGGTCGAATATGACATACAGTAGGGTGATGGTAGTTTGAAGTCAAAGGTCAACTGCTGGTTAATAGACTTTTTTGTGACGATTACTAATAAAGGCGCATTTCGATGATAATTGTGCGAAGTATAAAACCTACTAATAAGACTATTAGTCACCATGTATGAACTTGCTCAATTAGCACCGTGTTCTCAGCTGAGCATTAAATTGTGGAAAGAACAACCACAGAATTAGCGGTGTGGAATCGAGGTACATTCTGGCCTCTTTTCGCGACAACAGCAAAATTTCAGATCCACTTTTCGGTCAGCCATGGAAATAAAAAGGCTCCTTTCGTTGGAGATGGTAGAAATCTAAGTGGAGATGGGTAATTGAGAAGT